GACGGACAGACGGACATGGCTATATCGGCTCGGCTTGTCATGCTGATCAAGAATATATATACTTTGTGGGGTCTACCACTCCTCCTTCTGTGTGTTACATGTACACTCGCACAAAACTAATATACCCTTGTACCCTTAGGGTACAGGGTATAATTAGTTTAGATTCAACTAAAATCGTTTTTCCCCCAACCTAGCTATTGCGCTTGGTACAGATTGTAGACTCAAGATTTATAGCATTTTTAATTGTCTTTATTCATTTAAACTAATGTTGTAGAAGCTAACAACAATATAATATTTCATAATTTCTTTAGTGAAACATAAAACAAGAAATTTGTATAATATGGAGCAGTTGCATTCCGTAGTCAAATATTTGTAAGTCTTATCAAAAATATTATATAGACTTAAACGACTAATTTATTGTCGCTCCTTTTCCATAATATTTTATTATGGGTTCAATAACTTCACATGTGGTTTTGTAAAGGTTTGAACCTGCGTACCACGTTTGATAGAAATATCTATACCGATGCCAGATTTAATAAATCCATGCTTACAATTTTATACTTCAAGTACAAGTACAGGCTATAAATTTGAATCTAAATTTGCCAAAATAAAGAATTTTGTATCATGATCCATTTTTATTTTTCTACCAAATACTCTAGCAAACAGAATGGTGTTTAAATAGTTCGAGAAGAAATACTTGAACCTTTGCAGGTCTATCGAATGTACAATCCCTATTCAGTTTTCGTAGTTTTTGTTTGCGAATTGTTAAAATTACACCCAACATAAGGAAATTAATGCTTATCACACATATCACGAAGACAGTCATGCATAAACTTGTACGAATTTGCGTTTCTTGTGCCAAGGAGAAACTTTTTAAAAAGCGCAAAGTCAGAGCGCATGCAATTAATTTAAGTAAATGCCTTTTTTGTGCCAAGAAAGCCTTGCCTGCTCTTAGGCAGCTACAAATGCAATTTGCGCCTAAACAGCTTCAGTCAAGACTCACAAAGAGGAGGCAAAGGAGGGACAGGGAATAAGAGAGTTGGTATGTCTAAAAATGCTTTGCAGCATCACAAACACAAAGCCTATGGCGACATCGTCTTACGTCTAACTTAAAGTCAGTCAAAAATTGCATTAGCAGTCACAACTACACGTGTGCGTGCATATATGTATGTATGCATGCACTCCTATATCCGTATCCATATCGAGTCCTTTGCATTTGCATAAGAGCCACGCCCACGTAGGCAGGCAGGCAGGCAGACAGACAGACTTTTTCGGACAAGAATTCAGAGGCAGACACATGCAAAATGCACTCACCTGTTTTATTTGCGTACATTATGCGCTCTATTGAGTTTTTGCACCTGCCTGGCTGCATGCCTACCTTTCTGCATACTGTCGAACTTGCTACCTGGCAGCCAGGTTGCCAGGTTGCTGGAGCGGCTTAATCAGCAGGTTGCATAACTTGAGGCGCACGATTGATGCACCCGGAAAACAAACAACAGCAACAGCACGGCAATAGCAGCAGAGACCAGGTTGTTGCAGAACTTTCAAAACTGTCACCAAGCAAGCAGTTCTTGCTACTGCTACCGCCCCCGCCCCCCCTTCCACCCGTCTTCATCCGCCACCACCACCGTCTCCATCTCCATTCACCCCTAAGTAGTGCAAAACCTTAAAACCCAAGTCGTACAGTTACTTGAGCGCGCTCGCGAAGCACCGAGCTACGTAGCATAGAAGTTGGTCGGGTACTTGGGCCAAAAAGTTGAGCATTTCCAACTTGTTAGCCCGGCCACGTTGTGGATACGTACACATAGCTCTACATAGGTATGGGTGTGGGCCAAGATTGAGTGGTTGACTGCCTCGTGCGAGTGCATGGACGAAGATGTATGGCATATGTTATGTACTGTGCAACAAAAACAGGAAATACTCAATTTCTGCTGACACAACAGCAGCAATAACGAAGTTGTATGCAACAGACATGGTTATTTGCGTACGCTTTAAGGCAATTAAAGCAATTTGTTAGCCAATTAGAATGGAGGACAGCGCCGCACATAAATATGCAGTGCGCATAATTAAAGCAGGCATAGACAACAACGAAAGACAACACACTCGCGCCCAACTACCGCTCTCCTCGGCGCTTCTCAATTATGCTGCAGCACCCAAACAAACGCAACGTCAACAACAAGATTGACTTAATTATGTCGCAAGCGCGCGCGCTCACACACACACACACACACACATACAAACGCACACAGAGCTGCCTCTGCGCCCCCTGCTCACACTCAAACACTCTCACTCTCTCTTACTGTCCTCTCTCTTGCCAACTGACACACACATGCACATAACTTAAAAAGCAAATAAACACGTGCGCTGCATACTTTTAGGAACACCAAGCACGATACACGGGGCCGCAGTTGAAAGCTGCTCCGCGTTAGTTGTGCGTTGATTATGCAAAATGCGATGATGGCAAAACAGAAAAAGGAAAAGAATTATAATTACAAAATAAAGCAGGCACTTGAGACGCAGACCACTACCACCACCACCAGCAGCAGCAGCAGCAAGTCAGGTTAACTGTCTCAGGCCGGATTACCAGGTTACTATGGCTGTTGGCCGTAGTCGGCGTTGCCAGCACACCAAGCGCAGAAACGTTGGCCGCGATGAATGCAAACAAAACATCAGGCCAGTAGGTGCCAAATGACATAGTGCTGCTTGAAATGCTCTTACTGTTTGGGGACATTCAAAACTGCCAGAAGATGGCAACATTTCTTCCTCCGAGGCAAATGACATATTTTGAGAAATGCACGATCCAGAACCATGCTTCCAAATAGTGTTCGAATATTACACAATTGTGAAAAGTGCTCATGCAATTTTTGTAGCTGTAGAAGGTAGAAATAAAGGTGTAATTGCATACTCTTTCATCGGATAAATATCTATGCAGTGCGTGCAGTTTTTGCTTGAACCAATGCATCAATAACAAAACTTCTGTTGCAGCTCAGCATGAATGCAGTTTATGTGTATAGTATAAAACTCAAGTAACTCTAATGAGTTACGAAAATTTGCTTCAGCTTAGGCGTGCGTCGATAGGTTGGCCAGAAATGGAATGCTAGCTTGCATTGCCCAGTCTACCAATCAGAACTTCCCCCTTTCCGAAAAAACCATCCATGTGCTTCGAACGGATTTGTCATCGAACAATTTTTGGTAGTTCTGGATTGATATTGCATTTCATGTGCCGATATTGCATTAGAGTTTATATCTATATACCAACTGGTAATCAACTTAGTTCGTTTGAAGTGTTTGATGTCAGCACTTTTGTTGTTCGGCGTGAATATAAAATGGTGGGAACGAGTTTGGCTACAGGCTGGATATTTAAATCGTTTTAAACTTAGGAAATCTGTGGCTTAATGTAATTTTGTAATTATAGAAGCGAATTGGGATTATTCGAACAGTGCTCTTTCTATAGTGCTTTGATGACTTTTGCTCTTTCTAACTGGTTGAATGAAATGTTTTAGAGAAGAGCGGGCTGATTTGAAAAAACTTTTGAAAATCTGTACTCTAAGGTATTCCGTTCTTTCCTAAGTACATGTGTTATATTCTTAGTAAGCACCGAGTGGACCGCTATTTTTTTGGATGGTTTTTATCATATTATGATCTGACTTTGAAGCATTTAAGAATAAGTGTCATACTTAATAACAATGAAATCATTCCGTTTAGAAAGCATTTCTGTTTCTTTGTAGAAACGGTAATGAGGTTAGGTGCGTAGCTTACAAACTATTAGCCAACAAACTATCTCTTAAATTTCGATTTAAATCTATTATAACTATGCATGCTGGCAGGCAGGCCCGCACGCTACTCATGGCTTCGCCTGTACGTAGCAATGCGACCCATTTATAATTGCATTTTCCAACAAGAAACCTTCGCTGTCCTTAGTCTGCATAAGTCCATGTCGTGTCTCCTCATACTACTTAGTTTATGTCTTCGCCTGTATGTATGTTCTTGGCATATCATACTTGTGGACTCATACACATACAAAATTTGCGCCTTTAGCGCGACAAATTAAAGGCATGACGGTGTTAATGACACGCAAGACGACTGAGCCGAGCCGTCCACAGAATCGTAGCACGCGTTCGGGCGTTCGCCCCACCTAGCACTTGACTCACGTGGCAGGGCAACAGCCGTTTGGTGGGTGGTGGTTGAGGTGTTGCTTCAGCTGCGCAGCGGATGCGCCAAGCAGAAAATTAGGCAACAGAGACGAGTAATGTGGAGCTTTTGGGATTATCGTGATTCCTACTCAGCCGCAAACAAACCGGAACATATTGCCAAAGCTCACGATAACTGACGTAATGAACAAAAATGTCCCTAATTCGCATTTGTAAACTATAACGATATTACTTCATTTCAAACCGGAACAAGGGTACAAAATTCAAAAACATAAAAATGGGAACTAAATATCGTTCTCCCAGATGGGATAGAATAGATCTGTGCAAACTTTGAAAACTTTTCAGATATCGCTGCATTTCGACAAGGGCCCTGGTGCACCCTGGGTCCAATTGAATTTATTAGAATAGTACGGACTGAGATTTAGACCAGCTTTAAAGCGGGGCAGGCCTGACACGGTGCCAACGCGCCCATCTCTAGCGTGCCGCTCATGCTGGCTTTATGTTAAGCGAAGCTCCATTGAATTATCACACTTAAATGGCCAACTGTGAGAGAGACAGGCAGACATTCTGATAGGCTGGCATTCAGGCACAGGCAGCCCTCAATGGCGCATCGCAATTCAAACGCAATTTGGCGCCCCTTCAAAATGCAATGAGGCCATGAAGTATCCGCCAACCTCCCCTCAGCTGCCGCAGCGCCTCTTATCGCCCGTTCATTAAGCAATCAATTTCTATCGCTTTTGCACTTCACTGCCAAGCAGGCCATTAAACTGCCGTTTGCTCAGCTGTTCTTCTGTTTAACTGTTCATCTGTTCCTCTTTTTATCTGTATCTTTCTTCGTCCCTTTTTCAGATCATCCGCGAACGTCTCCCCGATTATCCTGTACGCAGCAGCCTCGTGTGGAACAGTTCGCCAGGCGCTCTACTCACGCTGCCCACGTTCGCCGACAGTTCTAGGTAAGATTTATGTACCTTCCCCAGGGTGCATGTGTGTGTGATAGAGAGAGTGAGAGAGAAAGACAGTGCCATTAACCCAATTGTTGCCTCGCGCAGATTTATGCCATTTCTACTGAATTCCATGGGTGCCGAGCCGCGTCACAACTACACAGCCGTTATATATGTGCAAATAGGCGCTGCCTTGGGTCCGAATGCTGCGCTCTACAAGCTAGTCAAGACCATTACGAAGAGTCAATTTGTGGACAGGGTAGGTCGGCACTACAACCCAGCCCTTCATACACTAATATACTTCCATGCTCTACGAAAACACACACAGATACTCGTTCTTTGGGCAGCAGACAGACCCATGCCGCTGAAGAAACGCTGGCCACCCACATATCATATACCGCTGCATGTGATTGCCCTCGGGGGCAATGGACGCGGTACTGCTGGGGCCGGCTCTGCCGTTGGCGGGGGCGGAGCCTTGCCCACTAGTCGCTCACATAATGCCGGCATGGGAGCAGCCACCGGTGACTCCCCCAGCCCCGCCAATTCGGAGACCCTGACTGATAGCCGCCCAAGCATATCACAACGCTTTCTGCCCTACGATGAGATTCAAACAGATGCCGTCCTCTCCCTCGACGAGGATGCCATTCTCAATACGGACGAGCTGGACTTTGCCTATACCGTGTGGCGGGACTTTCCCGAACGCATTGTGGGCTACCCAGCGCGTGCGCATTTCTGGGACGATTCCAAGGTAATCGTCTACGGACAGTATGCCGGTTGCATTTTTTTTAGGCTCGTCTGCTGACACGCCTGCTTTTTGACTTGCAGAATGCCTGGGGCTACACATCCAAGTGGACAAACTACTATTCCATTGTGCTGACGGGCGCCGCCTTTTACCACCGCTACTACAACTACTTGTACACCAACTGGCTGTCGTTGCTGCTACTTAAGACTGTACAGCAGTCCTCCAACTGCGAGGACATCCTAATGAACCTGCTGGTCTCGCATGTGACCAGGAAACCGCCGATCAAAGTGACGCAGCGCAAGGGGTACAAGGACCGGGAGACGGGTCGTTCGCCGTGGAATGATCCAGACCACTTTATTCAGCGACAGAGCTGTCTAAATACATTCGCAGCGGTCTTTGGGTGAGTAGTGATGGTCCTGAGATATATATACACCTGATTCTGTTTGCGGTCCTGAGATATATAGACCTCATTCTGTTTATACACGGTAGATTGGTTCCAGAAAAAAAAAACGTGTAAAAAAATACATTGATCATAACTCAGCAAAAATAGGTGATTGGTTCAATCAAGGATTTATGTTTATTTTATTAGATCACATATACTTGTATAATGTGCATAGCGAATGGTTTCTAGCTGTTTGTCAGATGTGTGTGTTTTTGTTTATATATTTCGTTTTATTTTAAATCGTGCCAACAATATCTAAAATGTTTAATTTTAAATCAAAACCGTGTTAAAACAGAATTAGATGTAATCAACATCAGTGGGTTGATTGCATTTATCAAATGCTCGTAACAAACATTGATAGTGTTGATTCATTCTCAACCATATGTTCAATTCGCTTTGAGCTTCATTTTTGGAATAGTTTGAAACACGAAGCGCGATTTCTGAACTACAAGTATATTTACATACATTATTTAGCTTACGTAATCCTGGTATCAAGCACACAATATATTAAATATATTAAATTTTACTGACACCGGTTGATCCATATAGTAGTTTATTTAAAAAGAAAAATGTAATGACGTTTCAGTTCACTAATGGCCTTTTTTATTTGCTTTCTTCTTACCAGCTATATGCCGCTGATACGGTCCAACTTGCGCATGGATCCCATGCTATATCGCGATCCAGTTTCCAATTTGCGCAAGAAATATCGCCAGATAGAGTTGGTCGGCAGCTAGCGATATGTGAACAATGGCAATAGCTACAAGCGTTAAGGGAGTACTGAGAATTACCAGCCCACACACACACACACACACATACATCAACGCCGACCCCGAACCCGACCCCGAGCCCGACACCCACATTCATCCATATAGTACATATATCAATATCGGGAAAGAGGAGAGAACATCAGCAGCTGTTGTTTTGAGGGCGCTTTACAAGCGCCGCAAACTATGTTAATTATTATTAGTAGCAAAAAGATTTAGTTAGGATTTAAATCAAGCGTATGTGTATGTGTATTAACTATAACTAATAAGCATTCAGCGTTGCAATTATATACATATACATATATATAGTATACATATATTATGCATAATGTACATAAATTAAATATGTATAGCATTAGCTTTAGTTATCGAGCGCGGCAGTAGCTACATATATACTCGCGCATACATACATACGTAGAGAACGATAATGATGATGCTGATGATGAAGACGACGGTGATTATAATCATGATGTTGTTAATAATGATAATGTTGCCATTTTCGCTAATTTCAAATTAGTGCAGCAAATTTTTGGATATAAGTAGTCTATACCAACTGTATGGGGAGATGCAGTTTATGTGTCTGTATCCGTATCTGTGAATTTTGTACTCAATGACGTGTTTGTTTGTTTTCAGTGGATTTGTGCGTGTGTCCCATATACATGTATGTAAATGTTTGTATGTAAAACTGTTGTAACTATTAATGTATGTACTATCTTCTTAAATATATGTAGTTAGCGCCATAATGTCTTCTGCAAAGCCGCAAGCCATTTTATTTTTTAAATATGAATAATTCTATTGGTTTGCTACGTAGCTGCTGGCAATTTTAATTTAAATTTAGCCTAAGAAGAGAAGCAGTGCGCACAAAATGCATTAAAACGGCTCCAAACTGTCGCTTCTTAGCTTATCAATTTTTAATGTGCAATAACATTTGCAATTTCCATTTTCTGTGCCACTCTACGGCGCCTTAGTTTTATTCTCACTGATCATTCAGTTTTAGTTTGTGGCCATTTATATCGTGTAATCAACTACAATACAATACAATATACATACATATGCTCTTATATACATATACATACATACATACCTACCTATACATATGACGGAGTTAGCTTTTAGTTTAATTGATACGTACATTTATACATGCCACTTACTATATCTATCAATCTATGTATGTGTGTGCAAGGGCACGCACGTGTGTGTATGAAAGAAATCTATATATTATATATTTTTACAAAAACAAAAATACAAAATACATATAAGTTGTAAGATGGGAAATCGTTTTTTATTTTGTCTTGCGTGTTTGCTGCCTTTCTTTAGTGCAATGTGGAAAACAAGACCGCCGCTTAAGTCCCCTCCCCAACTCCTTAGTGGCCATATAATCTGTACTTTATGGCAGTGAGTGGCAGTCTCTAGTATCAAGCTGAATTTCAAGTGGCTACAAACCAATACTAACTTGCCAACTTGTAGCAACGAAACCTAAAACCGTTCTATTTACTTTCCCCGCTCGACCGCCTACTCGTCTTTTCCACAATCAAATTAAATTCTAAGTCTATATATTAATGTATGTATGTATGAGGCCATTCAGAAAAAATTTATACAAAAAGAAATGCTGATAAAAATAATTGATTGATTAATTAAGGAACGGGGACGTTGTAAAGAATTGTTATCTCATAAAGACTTACAACACACTTGTCAGTATTGTCCGTTGAATGCAACAAATGCGGGTTCTTTCATAACACAACGTATAACGAAGGACATGCAAGGTACTCATACATGCATAATTGCGATGGATCTACATAAGTCTATATGAACCGACTGAAACAAGATGGTTACCAAAGTTTAAGTTGGACCCACTATTCCAGAAATTTATACAAAAAATCATCTTTTGTAAAATTACAAAATGCATAATTTGTCTTGAAAGAAAGGTGGAAGGTCCTTACCAACAGCTTATAAAATTCTTTAACAGAACAAACACCAACAGAAGACAGTCTCGCCTCTTTAAAAAAGTTTCGGAATTCATTTCTTGATTCAAATGCGAAATTGTTAACACCCTGTGCCCAAACAAACTACCAACTTTGGGTTTTGTGGGTAAGCCGTTTCTTTAATTCAGGCAGATGTACGATATGTCCACATCGATTTGTCGATTACAAATATATATCTCTTTGAGGCCGGAGATGGTTCCTCCTGTCTGTTGCATGCTATGTACAAACATAGGAAGTCCCTTTTTGTTTGGACACTGTATCTGATTCATATTTAGATGTTAAGGCGGCAGATACATACAATTTTTGACAGGCGCACATGGCGTATACATAATGAATGATAAACACACGCACACCAACACCCATGCAGGCAGCGCCTGAGGCTAGGCAACAACCAACTATCTGAAAACAAAAACAATAACCAACACTTTTTGTACAGTACAAGTTTTTTTTGTATGTGTGTAACATATTTGTACATTTGTATTTGACACTAAAATAGAAACAAAAACAGAAACAGACGAAACATCTATGGATCTTTTTATACCTTCATACAATATATTTCGGATACTATATGTGCCCAAAATGTAAAGACAACAAAAGAAAACAAAGCCCAACAATTGACCAACAAAGCAGCAACAATTTTCCGTGTTCCGCCACAGGCAACACAAACATACAAACGCACATATTTATCTTCTCTCACAAAAAAGAAAATACACAGCCACACTAACAATTTAAACGTTTAACCGTTATGGATGCATTTAACATAAAGCGCTTGAAATAATAGCACCAAACATTGCCAAAAACCGAATCCAACATCCCAAAAACCAAAAATGAAGAAAGAAACAATGGCGGGTGCCATTAAAGAAATAACGATAGCGATAAGCGATAAAAAAGCAATGAATATGCAGGAAATGTCACACCAGTATTCGAGCATATTGCAGTAAACACACAAACGTAAAAAATAATACATCAATTGAATAGGAATTATATATGTTGTGATACGATTGATAAAGCATTGATAGTCAATACTTGCGTACATACGAGTACAGCTACATAACAAATCCTGGAAGCGTCAATTTCATTTTGAGTTCTGATTCCCACACAAACACAGACACAATACACAGCCATCGACCAACCCATTCGCAGTTGCATATTCAATTTCCAAATATTACATTTTCATTTTGAAGATAATTGGGCATAATCAATTATTTTGCCACATTTAACATAACAAGGAGTAACGACGCCTGCCCGCACTATAAAAATAAAATCCCAGCGTTACAAAAAGCATACATTTTGCAGTTGATTGTTTCGCCCCAAGGGCACAGATAAAAAATATCCGCACTCGCATGCAAATTTGCCTACAATATACAAATAGATAGATAACAAGAGAGAACGCTACAGTCGAGCAAGCCCGACAGTGTAATACCCTGTACCCAGGTAAACTGCCACTGAGTTATATGCGCCCAAAGCAGCAAAAAGAGGAAGAAGAAGAGCGAACTTGTTGCTGCAGTTTGGGGGGGTTGTACTGGCGAGAATTTGTTTCGCTATATAGAGATTATGTGTGCAAAGTTTGGTTTAGGTAGCATTTGAAATGTGGACGCTATTGACGAAATTCTGTAGCGGGGGAAGGGGGGAAAATTCAAAAAAATAAAATAAACTCGTCCTTTCTCGGACCTAGGAGAATCTGGATGCCAACTTTGGTTATTCTAGCTTTTATAGTTTCTGAGATCCTCGCGTTCATCCAGACGGACGGACAGACGGACGGACGGACATGTCTAGATCGATTTCTCTCGTCATGCTGATTCAGAATATATATACTTTATGGGGTCGGAGATGCTTCCTTCTGTATGTTACATACTTTGTACAAACCTAATATACCCTTTTTACCCTACGGGTACAGGGTATAAAAATACGCTCCACCCATAACGGACCTACACTCTTCAAATTGTTGTGATGCAACATAGCGCATCTGAAGAGGTACTTCCTATCTATAGTAAACCTGTCCCCCCGAATTCGGAGCATTCCAAGCATAAGAACAAACCCTGACATAATGACAAAAACTTTGTAGTCCACCCACAACCCACGAATTGAGAGGCTTATTATCTTGGTGTTACAACTTTTAAACTTCTTAATAACATTATAAATACAAGTATATATACAAAATGGTGGCAACAGCTCCAAAATGGTATTCAAATGATTTCAGCCAAACAACACGCATTTGCAGAAAAAAGTTGGATACATTCAGTTTTAAACTAGTATTGTCTGATGATTTTTAAAGAGGTATTTAAGGAATTTTCATATTGAAGCGCTTCGCTTATAATACACATTAGTCAGAACTTACTAATTGAAAGGACAATACTATCATTGTTAAAGTTAGCTTGAAATACAGGGTAGACGTGAGATGAAATTAAAATGTTTATAAGCAAAAGCGACTAAGACGGTCAAGGACGGTCAGCCCTTAAAAATGGATCCAAAAAACTTTTACTTGGCTTTTACAAAGTATGCATATGGGAGAAAAAATATAAACCGTGCAGGAATGTTGTTGATAAACTTACTTACTCTATAACTATGCACTTTCCTATCAATTTATCAGTTTAAAAAGAAAATGTTATCAATTTATGAGCATAATCACAAACGTAAGATTCGACCTTTAGCCGGCATTCCATACAAAATATTTCTTTAATAAACCATTTTCAGCTGCAAAGTTGTGTTTTGTTTTCCGTTTCTTCCCCTCATACATACAGAACTCCATGCATTTGAAAACACTTACTCTACATACTTGTATTTCCATGAAAAGATACATATGTGAATAATCTAGATATGTGCTTAAAATATGGTAAGAAATTTTGCTAGGGTTAGAATATTATTCAAAGGGCAGCAAGCAATTACACTTGTTTAGATGTGGGAACGATGCTAATGCGGGCAAATACATGAATACCGCATTTCTGCAACAGACTTCAATGTTCCAGTTCTACTTAAAACTGTTAAATGACGTTATTTGCCGTTCAATACAAATAAACTAAATTGTTAAGGCTTACGTTGACAATGCATTGCATCGCATCGCAAAGACAAATAAATGTATAAATACAAGAATGTAAAATACACTAAAACGATAACTAAAGATCATATACATAGTAGTAAGAAGAAAATACAAGTACATACATATAAACGAGCAGCTCGCGCAGCAAATAAATTAAATGAACAAATGTGATTTTTCAATAAAACTTAAATGACAAATTCAAAACCAAAACAAACCCCTCTTTATTTCCTGGGCTGGATCGCCAAGGTTTTGGCTTAAAATGGCAAAATTCATGGATTTTTTGGTTTGCTTTAGTGCCTGAGGGCATCCTTGAACTTTACTAAGCCTGCCAAGTCCAACTTGCGATTAGCTGTTCATTTAAAAAAAAAAAGTTACATTCGAGCAGACCGAACACTAAAACCGTTACCCAAAAATCTTCAGCCGCTAATTTAACTCATTAATATATGAGCGCAAAGCAGAAGCACCCAGATATAATTAGTTTATGTAGCATCGGAATTAAAGCTTCCTTTGTATAAGGATAATGTGGCTCCAATTATTTCCAAACTACAAAGGAATAAAGATCGATTTATCTTGATATGCTTCCTCCTGCATAAATCTAATCACTTTTTTCCGTACTGGCTTTCCCAAAAAAAAACAAAAAACGAAGAAGACAATCGAGACTGTCGGTGGCGGTTATTGGTTGGTAGATAACATTTTATCGAGGGGAGAGCATTATTAAATAGATATCGCAGAGCAACTATATCTGACTTTATGAAATATAGTAGTTCTCATTGAAGTACATGTCATATATAACCATTATACAGAAAAGTTAAGTAAATTCAATAAATTTCTGTAAAGAAGCATGGTGCATGTTTTGTCTGAAGTTCAATACCTGCTAAATTTTGTAATATTAGAAACTGGTGCACAGTTGCAATCATAAGAAATAGTCAAATGCAGCTTTTATTAAAACTTTATTTTCAATATTATTTTAGAACCTTTCGATCTTGCAGTTGAATATTTGCCGCCATTTAACAAACATTAAACAGCAAAGTAGGGTAAACAAATTTTTACACTAATTGAAAAGATTGTTGTTCAAAATAAAAATGGGCGTAACAATTACATTTATAAATAATCTTATATGTATATATTCCCCCAAAATGAGGTGCTGGATATACTCACGCCCACTTGTTAGCGCTACGTTTCTCGCTGTTGACATTGCAAGGTTGCCAGGGCCGTTTAAATACGTTTAAACACTCACTTGCGGACATATGTACACA